TCACGCCGAAGACCTGGGTTCAATTCCCGACATGGGTACAATGTGTGAAGCCCATTTCTGGTGTCCCCAGCTGTGATATTGCTGGAATATTGCTAAAAGCGGCATAAAACCATAATTTATATTTCTCATAGCTACAGATACAAATTTCAGTCTACACAATGTTAAGAAATGACACTGATGGCTAACTCTGTAAGCATTTATTGCAAATGATGAGATAATAATTGCAGTATTGTAGAAAATCTGAGTCCACATCCACATAATTAAATACACACAACAGAAACAGAGAAGCTAATTGATTTGAATCACTGCCAGAATTGTTAGCAACTTTATCTGTGTCACATAATGCAGCATGGTCTGTGTCAGCTACTGGTAGCTAGTGTCACATACTACAGCATGGTCTGTGTCTGCTACTGGTAGCTAGTGTCACATACTGCAGCATGGTCTGTGTCGGCTACTGGTAGCTAGTGTCACATACTACAGCATGGTCTGTGTCTGCTACTGGTAGCTAGTGTCACATACTGCAGCATGGTCTGTGTCGGCTACTGGTAGCTAGTGTCACATACTACAGCATGGTCTGTGTCGGCTACTGGTAGCTAGTGTCACATACTGCAGCATGGTCTGTGTCAGCTACTGGTAGCTAGTGTCACATACTACAGCATGGTCTGTGTCAGCTACTGGTAGCTAGTGTCACACGTTGCAGCATGGTCTGTGTCGGCTACTGGTAGCTAGTGTCACATACTGCAGCATGGTCTGTGTCAGCTACTGGTAGCTAGTGTCACACGCTGCAGCATGCTCAAAGGAGCTGTCTGCTGGAAGGTCTGTAACCAATCACATGTGGATAATGAAAGATAACTTCAGTAACATCTGGACCAAATGTGCTGATCAAGTAATTACTTGATCTGGTTAGTAATCCAGTTTCATAGCCAAACTAATATACAACTACACCTACCACAATATTATTTTCAGCCAACACCATGTGTTCAGCTGCTTATTGGATGCCTCATTCTGGTAACCTAATCTAACTGTGTTATCATTATATTTATGGTGCATACATGATACATGACATCTATATCATTGCTGTGTGCATAGAATTATACAATTCAACAATGCAACTTGGAAAAATGGTGATCGTGGCGCTTGATTATTTCAAATTTTACAAAACTATTCACAGGTTATCTGAGCAACGCAATATTGAACAAATAAACCAAGGTTTTCTGGGACAATGAAGGCAACTTTGATCAATATCTAGCTTTCAATATGTTTTGACCTTGAAACTGATACATCTAGATGTGATACATGGTAGTATAATCATGTCAATGTCCTGAATATGTCAATGTCCCAGTAATACAAATACATTTTTCAGCATTGACATTTTGTCAAGCACTAGCAATGCAACTGTCTGACATTTTTGTTGACAGGGTGAGGCCTGCATTTACATCATCTTATTAGCTGCAAAATGTTGTGCACGTTTGATGAAAGTTATAGTTACATAAACAATGAAGAATTTAGTTGATCATAAATTTTTGTGGGACAAATCTGTCACATGATTAATGTTCCTCTGGAGGACATTTCGAGAAAGCACCTGTCATGATCTGCTTCATACTGTTTTTAGGAACCTTGCAGTTGGTAGCATGCCTAGGTTGTAGCCATAATGGTCCTGGAAACACTTTCATAGTTTCCTTAAACAACCTAGATCCAACCGAATGCGATGGTAATAAAATGACCCGCAATGATCAGATTTATCTGTTGTTTAACACCACACTCAACAATATCCAGTTATATGAAGGTGGCCTGTAAATAATCAAGTTGGGTCCAGGACAAACCAGTGATTTATTATTGATATTGTGAGCAATGACAGTTGGATCATTAATTCACCCCTTACGAAAAGCATAGGTTGGTCAGACTAATTCTAACCCTGAATCCCCATGGGGTGAAAAAATTAAGACCAACAATATGATGAATGACAACTTCAGTTTGGCCAAGAACAGCCTTTCTCCAAGGCTGTAATGAAAGATAAGTCCATGGATGTGTAGTAATTCTATCCTCATAATAGGCAAGTCTAGATAAGTGTACAATACATCTGAGGATGTCTGTCTTTTATAGGATAACTTGTTCTCATTATTTGAATAACCTAGAAATTATGACTTCAGCTGATAATTATTGTTTTAGAGACTTGTGCAAGTCTAGGCCAGGAACCCTGGTTGTTGACAGCAGAATCAACATCCCAGGCCATCAGAGTACGATGACACACAATCAAGTCACAGAGCCTGACCACTCAGTGTCCACTGCAGTTTGGTCTTCTACCAAGAATCCGGTACTGAGGACCAATTCTAACCTGGAAACCCCTCAGGGGATCCTTATCAAATACGTATTTACATTTCATGTAAATGAAAACTGAAATAAAAACAATAAATAAAAATAAATTCTCAACACTGACTTACTTAGCTTTCGAAAAATGGTAAACTTCAGTGAATGATGTTTTACATATGGAGAAGTCATTTATAGTGCAAATGCTTGGATAAGATAGAACTTTTACTATCAATACAAGCTTGCATAGTACAGTTAACATCTCCATTGGTGGAATCAACAGGCCTAATATACTCTTGTTCCCTGTTCTTTTAGAAAATACTGAAAATGTAAAAACTTAACGGACAACATATGGTTTAATTGCCTATATCATGTATAAAAGTCATAACTGCTTATTTTGAAAAGATCTTATGAATCCACAGACACCATTAGTCATATTCAAAGAGACTGCAGCCGATTTAGAAAGAAAACAGCTTGTCCCTCTTGTTTTCACCAGTCTCGGATTAACAGACTAGAGCTTCCATTTAAATCATTATGTTTTCTTCAAGGATGAACATATCATATACCTCCTATTGTGATCTCCTTGTCCCATGATAAACATGAACATGCACACCCAAATATCAAATATATGATACCCTAATGATCCATTAAACCAACCAATGACACGTTTGAGACAGTACTTTACAAGTTATAAATCACAATCAATACTTGACAAAGTCCACATGGTTCTACAAGACCACAAGTCTGCATATAAATTGTGTATATTTAGAACTGAATAAACTCTGGTCATCAAACAAAAAGCAAAAAATGTATTACTTACTTTCCCGTATGTGGATGTAACTTATGATAACATGTATCCTCCTACATAACATTTGAACATGTGAATGTAATTCAGTTGCACCTTCTAATACAGCCAAGTCAAGGCGACATGGTTAAAACTAAATTGTAACCCGGAAACTAGGCTATGACAAAAGACAACCCCCAATCATCACATAAAGTAAGACTAACATGTAAACTCTGACAAAAAAGGTCTGTACAAGGTTAAATAAAAATCAGTTTACAATGGACCCCATAAGTGTTAAAGGAACTCTCAAGTCCTTGAGCTGAAAAGAGGATGAGTATAGATTGCTAGAGAGAAGGGGATGAAAATAGCATGGGGAGGCTGTTTTACGAAATATGTCACACTAACATAAAGACAGCTTGATTGTGTGTCGAGTAAGATTAATGTTGCTTGATTCTCACTTAGCTATAAAATTGAAGACATATCACGACAGCCTGTTAATAATCATATATTTTCTGATTTGTGGCCTATGTGGTTCTGAGATGTATCTCCTTAATTACAGCTTCCACAGATTAACTGCATTATGACACTGGAGTTTGTGCACAAGTTAAGTGTTGTTAGATGACCTGACTCTGCAGCCCCAAAAGACACAATCTCTGAAACTTAACGACCAGGATATATTCATGAGGACATTATTGTACAAGGCAGGGGAAATAATTGCAATCAATATCAGCATATGAATTAACACAGCAACTTTATCATTCTTTGTGTCTTTGAATGTTTTTGAATATCTGGAAAACAAGCTTGGAGTCACTCATGCATTATGTGTTTGAAATTAAGCATGAAAGTCAAGGAGTCCTTGTGAAATTCTAATGTTTAAAGATATAGGGGGTCCCTAGATTCAAATACTATAGCAACAAATCTCAAGGACCCAGAACCCCCTTAACTTATATGGATTTTATACACAGGTACTTGATATAATCAGGAGTACCTCCAGGGCAGACTGGACATGATACACAGTCCAGTGTTAATTAGCATGTCGATGATGACCTTTCCACTAACTAGAGGAAGGTAGGGTATGTCCGGCATCTGAGCAGCCACCTCCTCTGACTGAGACACAGGTCACAGTCAAGTGTCAAGGTGGAGCCAGGCAGGTGGAGAAGGAAGTAAGAATGTTGTAACATAGGCAAGCTATGCCACAGCTCACCAGGAAATGCTTTCATGTTAATTGGGAAAATTTAAGCAAAAATATAATCTTGAAAACATGTTCTCTTCGTCATCCTAGGTGTGGTAACTTGGAAACAGACTTTTTCAGGTCTAGCCTTGCAGATTATAGTGCAGGAAGATGTAATGACAGTATTTGCATCTTTTTAAAATAAATAGTTGATAACGTGATGGTTTGTTTACAGCAGGGCAGTGTTTTCAGCTGTTCCAGATACAGATACAGAAAAACAATTACACGTATTACAAGGGCAGGAGAAAAAGTGTTCACAAAGGTGGTGTATAGCTGACATTCTTCTTGTTCTCAAGACCAAATTTATCAATGATCACCTCTCAAAATGTGAATGTTCTTCTTGAGCAAAAGGGCGATGGGGTACCTTTTAGATAAAGGATTCACTCATCATGTAGAAGCCGTGGGTTTCAATTCCCCACAGGGGTAATCAGTGTGAAGGACATAGGTATCCCCAGACATGCTTAAATCAGTGTAAAACCATACTCAATCATTCCCCTATTGAGCAAAAAGGACTAAAATATGTATCCAGTGTAAGAAGATTTTGGCTACAGTATCTAAATCAAAGCACCCCTAAATCTATCTATTTACACTGACAATGACCATGATGACAGGAAGCCTTTGACATTCATCCTAATTTCAAACAAAAATCACATCTGAATATCAATATGCACAGCTTACCTTATTTATTGGCTAGTTGTAGTGTTACAAGCAGCTGATTGAATAAAGTCTTTCACTCCCAGCCACAGATCATCTGTAACAGAAACGAGAATATTCTAAAATAAGAGTGTCACATATAATCACTCGGGAATGAAATGCAATCAACCAAGTCACTGAGGCTGATCACCTGATCCATTAAGCCGTCCCTTATGACAAGCACAGCGGCCAGTTATGTGATCAATTTTAATCCAGAATCATTAAGCAACCAAATTCAACCTGAAATGTTTACAGGCCATAACATTGAAAACATATAAGGACACCCCCAAAAGCCTGAAATTCTACAAGCGTTTTGGAAACCACGAACATAAGAGAACACATGCTCAGTAAGCTTGTAACTCTGATGGTTGTGAGCTATAGTTTCATTGAAGGGTTATTGATCTATTTGTCAAGTAACAGATCTGAAACATTTCACAAATCAGTCACACCATGCTTACTAACCAGTCACATCCTAGTACAACATCCTCAAATCACAGACAAAATGTTGACAAGTGAAATTTAAAATTTCAATATCATTTCTGCAGGATCCAATTGCAGTGCCAACCATGATGTATCAGTGAGTGAAGATCCCCTTCTTCATCAAGTGTTGGCTGTTCAGCAGGGGGAACAGTTGAGGTGTCCATGTGCCAGTCATCACCACAAAGTATACATGTCACATCAACATGATCATGATGATCAGGACAATTTTCGAACAATGGTGCCATGAGGACATAAATCAAACTTGCTGGCAAGAGAAATTAGAGATATTTCGTTGAGTGAAGGGGCTTATAAAGGCAGCTGGGGAATATCAACAATGGAATTTCCACATTCATTTTGGGAATCAAACACTGGTCTTCGACATGTCTATTCTCTATATCCTCATATATATACTGTCACTCTCCATCTAATGCCATGGTTACATAATAGTCATATACAAATAGTCTGCCCAATCTCATTAAAATCAGATCTTAGTTCTCGCTGTCGCTAAACAAAGATCTGAGGACATCCCATTACGCATCACGTCAGAACGACCTTACATCCGACCAATCAAAGCGTCGCTTACCAGATCATGAAAGTGACAGTCGGAATGTGTTTTCTAATCATGCAATCTCGAAAACGTTAAAACGGGGTATTCCAAAACGACAGTTACGGCCCGTCTGACTGATTCCGTCAAAATTATCATCTATCCCTCGCTCCCGTGGGATAAACATTTGAACGGAGGAGACGTTGCACAGTACATGGGAAGCACTGCCATACAATCACAACCATATATTAGACATTCCGGAATGTCATAGCCACAAAATGAGTTCCATATTATAGATGGTGACAGTCCAACACTAACTCCATTGTTAATATACTGGTGTTGGTCAATATATCAATATTACTGATAACATGTGATATCTATCTAAAATCCATCTGAGCATAAATGAAAAATCTTTGAAATTTGGTGGTGACAGTTCAACACGGATGTTGGTCGCTATGTCAAGGCTTCAATATCACTATGAGTGAGTGAGTGATTAAGGTTTTACACAGCTTTTAGCAATATCCCAGCTATATCATGGCGGGGACACCAGAAATGGGCTTCACACATTGTACCAGTACATGTTTGAGAAAACAAAATGATATGGTACAATATGGTACAATATGGTACAATATGGTACAATCTGTTGCACCCTGCAGTGACACACAGAAAAACATATCAAACCAGGAATGGACGATGGGATACAGTAACCACTGCTAATGCCAGACAAGGTCAACTGTCATCAGTATCTGTTCAATACATCATGAGAATCCAACCCAATCTACGATACTCCCAGCTGGTACCTCTGTCACAATCAATCCTTTCACGTTTGAAGAAATTGAATACTAAAAGTATATGACAATGGATTGGCACTGAAACTTGAAAGCTAACAGCTTCAATACTGTTCACCGAGCTGTTCCAGCAAAACCAAGACAACAATCGATTGGACAATAGGTGTCACATTCAAACTAAGCATCGCCCACAACAGAAACTGGAGCTGAGATCATCATTGTCAGTTTGATTAGGATTCAGTTAAACTACAATTTCAAATAATTTACAAATTTTCACATCTTTTTACGTTCTGTAAAGATGGACCTAATATTCTGAGGATTCATCTAACAGACTGGGACATGAAGTATGGAAGTCCAGGTCACCCACAACCTGCTGAATGTCAGCTTAATGTGGGAGGAAACCTCGAAGTGATGCAGGTCTCAGACGTTTACCACTTCAGTGAAACCCACGCGCACGGGTCTGGTGCTGACAAACCTAAAAACATAATCGGGGCGAACCAGGATTCGAACCCACAATCATAGGTTTCTGGCATGCCCAAGGGACACAGCTGCACACAGCGAAACGCGGCGCCTCAGATGACTGGGCCACCCCTGCCCCCGATCTAGATGGGAGATTCAGTCCTGAATCTGTGGAATATCTAGACTTGCTTCATTTGGGGCTATTGATTTCCGAAAGGGCTGGGCTGAATGGAAGATAATATGGTTCCGGGGCAGTGTGAGAGACTCATGATCTTCATGTACTACTTGCAATTTGGTTTCTTTGATCTATGACATCCACCATCCCCCTTCAACATGCACATGGGTATGGTGCTGACAAACCTAGAAACATAATCGGGGCGAACCAGGATTGGAACCCACAATCATAGGTTTCTGGCATGCCCAAGGGACGCAACTCTGCACAGCGAATCGCGGCATCTTAGACGACTGGGTCACCCGTGCCCCCGATCTACGTATGAGAAGTGCAAAAAACTGACATTAAATAATGCAAAGGTAGTGAGGTAGCTGTCATGTTGAACAACCAGTCATGTCTGACAGTCCCAGATAAGGGACCCGTGAAGTTCCGGGTTAGAATAGGTCTTCAGCAACCCATGCTTGCTGTAAAAGATGACTATGCTTGTCGTAAGAGGCGACTAACTGGATCGGGTTGTCAGGCTCACTGACTTGGTTGATGCATGTCATCATTTCCCAATTGTGTGGATTGATGCTTGCGATGTCAATCACTGGATTGTCTGGTCCAGAGTTGATTAATTACAGATAGCTTAAATAGTGCAGAGTGCGGCGTTAAACAACAAACCAAACCAAAACCCAGATAAGGGCAACAGTGATACTGAATTATAGCTGACTGCAGTGACCAGCAAACCGGAACATAACCTGTGTGCCCCTGCTCTATCACCAGCTGACAGGGCCGCATCATTGCAGGTCCCACATACCATACATCAGCCACATTGATCCTACTTATAGACATATATTACGTAGCATAAATAAACCACTTAGATTGATAACACGGCTAATCTAAATGATGTATTGCACACATGATATGAGAAATTTAGGCCAATAGCATGTTGATGTCCTGTCTCATCACAGTGACCAAACCTGAGCATAGCTGAATATAGGGGGTAAATCATCTCCTACACCAATGGTTAGTCTCTAAAAATATATAATGTTGATAGAAACAACTACACTCAAACTGAAAAGGAGCCTCAGTGAGATGGGAGATTCAGTCCTGAATCTGTGGAATATCTAGACTTGCTTCATTTGGGGCTATTGCATTACAGAAAGGGCTGGGCTGAACATGCTGAAAGGAAAATAATATGGTTCCGGGACGATGTGAGAGACTCATGATCTCCATGTAATACTTGCAAGGTGGTTTCTGTGATCTATGACATCCATGATCCCCCTTCAACATGCAACGTGTACATGCTCATTCATTCCTGTTACCTGAAGATCTGTGATAATGAACTCCTTGTACCACAAGCAAGGGGATCAGTAGGGTGCCATCATTTCCCTCAGCAGTATACTATATCCTACTGTACCTCACATTGGTTTGGCGGAGACTCCGCTTAGCTAATTCCCCTTCAAATGACAACATCACATTTCAACACATAGTTACCGACTGCCAAGGTGATAAAACAAATATTTGTCCAATAACTACTGTTACGCAATAATGTTTGAAAAAACTCAATATTCATTAGAACTTTGCAGTATTTACTAAAACATGAAATGTAAACATGTAAACATGAAATTAGAAGACTGACCCTGACACATGTTTACAATAAAATACCACCACAGACCGATCCCCGAACACACTTTGCTGAATCACTCAGGTGTGCGATGAGCCCACCGCATACCGACAATATCCTGTACCTGCTTTCAAAAGGGCTCATGTGCGTGCTGTCAAAGCCCTTATGACAATCGACAGGCATGAGAAATAATTGGACAAGAATGACAGAACAAAAAATCACACACTAAAATACCCCCAAATACTGATATACCATCATAGTTTCTATACAAATAACGTTGATCACGAAATGAATAGAATACACAACATCCTACACAAGACAATTAATCGATTGTTGATGATCAAAACCAAAATCTAATTACTGATCCAGCATCCCTACCACACAGCACAGGACGTGACCCACACTTCTCGTCACTCCCTACCCTGGGGCTGTTCACAGGGTGTATCTATCCTACCCTCGAAGCTCTGGCTCCAAGTTGTTGAGTGTCCGGACTCAAAGTGTGTCTCGTGCCTCCAGGTGACGCGCACATATTGAATAGTATATTGATCTGTTGTTTCATGCTCCATCATGCTCAATGGCTAACAAGAAAGGCTACAGCTACTTTCGTCTTCCATTTTTTATGAAGGACTATTCATTCAGGTTTTATACATTCTTCACAAAGATAACTACAATATTTTTACCATATATAATTATCACAGTGATCCCTTAGGCATTAGTTATTTGTCATATGATGCCATGACAACAAATATGAATTTTACTCAGTATCAAACTATAAATCAATATTTACCCCTGATTATTGAACATTTCATGAATTCCTGTAACACGACAAGAAAGAAGCAAAACCACATTACCCAAATAACATTTAGGATGACACAGCTTTGACGCAAGTTTGATATAAATGCTAACAGAAGAGAGTACCTGTATTTTCTGATGTATCCTGAGTTATTCTTGCCACAGCTTGGGATATGAGTCAGTATCACACACTAATTTCCATAGTCAATGCCAGAACCTACACCAACTTGCTTGATAAATATTCACTTCTGACACTGATCAATAGGTCCAAGTTTCCCAAAACACTTGACAGAAATGTAGATGTGATCCGTCTCGTCCGTATGAAAATCAACCAGTTGTATAATTACAAAGTCCTGTGTCTTTGTTGCAGGTTTATTGAACCCTGATGAGATAGGTGTATTAGGAGGAAATCCCACGTCTGCTCAGACTACCTAAACAACATACAGGACAGTTGGTGACCTCATACACATTACTACACACCACGAGACTTCTTATTAATGGGACCTTCGTTGACTCATTGGATCGTTTGCGACACCACGACAGTTCCGTGACACATTATTCCACTCACAATAGTCAACTTTTGGTATACACACACCAAGAAATGTTCCACATGTGTAGGCTTACTCAACTGCCGCTAGCTAACCACAAGGGATTATGCAGGTCACGGGTCATGCTATAAATAGCTGATTATAATGGCTGGCTTTGAATGGGGACCCTTTTCAACAATGATATCAGACAGGACATAGGAATGCAGTGCTAGAAATAATTGGGGCTCCAATTTTGTTCATTTTTAAGCCAATAAGGCTTTATGCAAGGAGTGTGCATATCTGTAAAAGTGTATGAATAAGGCATATTGCACTGAAATATAATAAACTTAATAACCTGAATATTCCAGATATTTATGTGCAAATCGTATAGCTTTCATTGTATGGACCATCAGAATCTTAAGGCTATTTAATTGTTCTCAAAAAATACTTTGAAAATAAAAGTAAAATATATTTGCAATAACAAACTAAAAACTTTACAGTATATTCATCTGTAAAACAAGAAACAACTTGATGTAGCCTACACATGAACATTTCAAAATAACATACAAGGGAACAACATTCAGATCATTTAAATGTTCTCGAAATGCATTAGGACATTCATCTTTGTCTTTCTGCTCCGTGGTCTAGTGGTAGAGCGTCTGCCTGGAGAGCGGAAGGCCCGTCCGTGTCATACAAAAAAGATGTTAAAAGATGTTACTTGTTGTTACCCTGTCCGGCGCTTGACATTAAGGGGCTAAAACAAGGACTGGTCAGCTAAGAGTAAGTATACTGTGTCTGTGTGGGGTATTCATGTTAAAACTGCAACATGGTATCGCAGTGGGCTAGCACTATAAATCGGCATCAGTCCGGACTAGAACAAGCAGCCACACCAAAACGTGCATGCTATATAAGTGCAGTAATCTTGGATGCGACGTTAAACCCCATTTCACCTCACCTTTGTCTTTCTACCACAGTGAAAGATGACCAAGCAACATTAGCAGGAAATATCGAACAACTAAAATTGTCAACATACTTCAATACAAATAATTCAAACTTTACACTGTCTTAAATCTCTCATTTTACCTGCAGATTTACAAGAAGTAGCTCTTGGAGAAATCCACCACAATGGGTATATGAGCACCAACACAGGTGTGCGATCATCTCTAACGAGGTAATGAATACCTGTTCGCTAAGGCAGGTAATCTGACCAGAACAATAGCTGCCTGTGAGGCCAGTTTCAGTTGAATAGTCCCCCCACCCATGGATCAATGTACCTAACACCTAATGTCTCCATGATCTGTAACCAATTATTGCTGACATGTTTATGCATCCAAGCAGAGAGAAAATACTATAAGTGTGGGTGAGTTGTATAACCCTTGTAGTAGTTTGTGACATAATCTGCATCAACTGTTTTACTACACACCCCTGCATAAGTGAAGCTGATTGGAGTGATTGCCTATTTACATATCACTGACTCATTCATTCAGTGTGTTTGCAGACACCCCAGATACTGCACACGTTTAACAAAGTCAGAAGACAAAGGCAGCTTATATGAACATTCTACTTATTTTGGGCAGAATTTGATTATTAATTGTCATTTTTTGTTCTTTAACAGTCATTTAGACTATATCATAGCAGCCTGTAAATAACTGAGTTTGGACAGACAAATTACAGATGACATGTAATTGAACAAGTCAACATGCCTGACCATGCTGTCCATTTAGTTGTCTCTTATGACGTTAGCATAGTAAGCATAGGTGACTGGGTGCTATCTAACCTGAAAACTCCATATGGTTCAACAAAACATAGTTTATAAAAGACTATTGAACACTATGTTGACAGTCCCATCATCAAAGTTGCGGTTTAACAAACACTATTACTGATCAATAAATTCCTTTTTAACATTCATTTAGCGATTTAGTCATGTCAGTATTCAGCAACTGGATCAAGGAAATGGGTTGGATAGAGGATGGTTGTGACATATACATTAACGGCTCAAACCTTCATGACATTGCATGTTCAAGGAGGTTTGATGTGGTACTCTTCATTTACAAATAAGTATAAATGTTAGTCATCTTTACCACTGTTTACATTCTGGTGAACATAAATACCTGCCCATAAGATGGTGTATTTTATAATTTTGTTTCCTTGCATAAACCTCATTTTACAAAAAAAACCAAATGATCTAAGAGCCAAAAGGACATCTATAATGCTTAAACAAAACATGTTCCAAGTTTCATGAAGATATCTTTCAGTAGCTCAAGTTGATGTGTGCATGTGCAATGTACCATGACTATTCAGTGAATGGTTTGGGAATTCTGCTCTTGGAACAAGCCCAATCTTGATGTCAGACCAGTCCCACCTGCCACTGGATAACTTGAACATGTTGAAAGGTTTCTGAATTATTTATAAATGCTCTGGTCACACAGCCTAATAGACAGAGGCATGCACAGATGGACACAAAGACAGACAGAGCTCATTTGTATATCAAATGCATGTTGAATCATGATCACTGTGGTGGGGGAAACTCCTGTTTTTACAATCATACAAAATATCAGACCTGATCATGCCAATGCTGAGCCCTTTCTGTCACACTAACTATTGCATGTATTGTGCCCTCCAAACAGGGATTCTGGCGATAAGGTTCCCACTCTCCCCTGCTCGTTTCAGGCCCTGTCTAAACAGTAACTGGTGGTATTTAACTTTCGACAGGGACAATCTTAAAATTAAGGCAATAAGGTATTTACCTTTCAACAAGGACAATCTCCTAATTAAGGCATTAATGTATTTAACTTTCAACAAGGACAATCTCAATAATTAAGGGATTAATGTACTTAACTTTCAACAGGGACAATCTCCTAATTAAGGCAATTACCAGAACAAATATCACATCTGAGTCCTAAGTAAGAATGTATTGGCAAACATCACTGGAGACCTCACAGCTCCACCACCTGTTTCAGGATTCTAAAAACATAAGGGAACACATTTGACTCTTAGTCTCTGAAAACATCTAATTTTTATAGAAACAAGCAGATACATTTAAATTGAAAAGGATCCCAGGTGAGATGGGAGATTCACAACCTGCCGAAAATTGAGACTTGTTTCATTTAGAGCTGTGGATTAAAAGTATGGGCTGAGCGGAAGAGACAATAATATAGTTCATGAACTGTGAGGCAAGCGAGGGAACACACTTCCACTCAATGAAACACAGTGTCCGAATTACCGAAAGGGTCCTTGAGCATTGTTCAAAGTTTCATTTCTCTGACTTCAATAGTTTTTGTGGCAGGGGATAAAAATCAGTTTTGCAAGCTGGACAAGCTGGACAAGCTGACAAGAAACAAAAGGCAGAACCGTGTTCATTTTCAACATTAGGGTTATAACAAGGATCGCTTGTTTTTCATGGTTACTTGGAAACACTGTACACCCCCCAGATGGGTGTATTAATACAAAGCCATACCTACGTAAACAATCACATGTTTGGCAATTAACTTGGAATGTGTCATTCAGTCATTCTCCCATATCATTTTACGCACTATGAAACTTGACCATGACACAGATAAATGTACTGTTGTCTGACACTCCACAGACTCTCCTCCCAAGTCTGGTTCCAGTAAAGCCATGGTCCGCTAATAACAGTCCATATAATAACATTCAAATATACAAAATATGACGCCGACATTGGGGTAGTCAAGTACAAGATTTTTTTTATCCAAATAGCGTATGGTATGACAGATAGTTGCCTGAACAAATAGACCAGAGACCATCCACAGGTATATAGTCTCTGTATAGACTAACCCATAGTCCCTGAAATAAAGTTATGTAAAGGGTTAATCAAGAAATTAATGACGTCATTGTTTATCGTACAATAAAAGTTTATAGTGCTAGCCCACTGCAATAACATGCCACAGTTAACATGAATACCCCACTCGGACACAGTGCACTCCGAGCCGACCAGTCCTTGTTTTATGAACCCCTTCATGCCGAGAGCCAGACAGGATAAAACATGTACCATCTTTTAGTGTCTTTTGGTACGACACGGGCGGGGATCGAACCCACGACCTACCGCTTACTGAGCAGACACTCTATCCACTAGACCATTGAGGTTATCAGCGATAGAAACTAACAGAAACTAACAGTTTTAGTCCACTAGTCCTTATCATGATAACATATAGCAAAACCCTTATGACACCTTAAGTATTGGGTAGTTTGGCAAGGACTATAGGACTAGTGCCAATTTTTAACGCTGGGTTATGGAAAAGGAATCAAAATATGAACGAAAATCTCACTGAACCATTAAGATCTGAGATCATCTTTTTTCAATCTTATTCTTATTTTCTACCACTGACTAAGATTTCTGGAAAACAACAACTGTTAACCCAACTATTTTAAAAAGTTACTGAACATTCTTTGATCTCAAAGGAATTCAAACAGAACAAGAGAATAAAAGCCAAAGTTCACTTGTCAGACTTTATTACAAGATTTTAAGCAAGCTGATGACAAAAGAAAATGCCAACATCATGACAAAAAACATCACACATGCCCATGGCCTTTGAAAATGGTAGCAATGCTTTAAACACTGAAAGAAGACTACTGCATGACAGAACAGAATAACTCACATAATTTTGTTAAAGGAGTAAAAGCAGTTAGGTCTCACTTTGGAGAAAGAAAATGCTTCTTTACATGCCAAACATACAAAAGGTAATCCTGACACACAACCATCTAACTTGGGAACACGGTGAATGTGAACCCTGGTCATACTTATATTTATTACCTTTGATCGAGTTGTCTACAAACAGTATGTATTCAACACCAAACATGCTAAAGGGTGTTACAGGTTTTGTGTACAATGATAAAAGGTGTAATGATATGTTAGGTGCAACATGTCGTAACTGTGGGCTTTGAATAACTGATGTAAGAAAACATACAAAAAAAGGCCTTTACAAACAACAATGACTTTCAACAGAGTGCGCTGTATATCTATTCCTTTGCCTGCTTGAGCCAACACATCTCTTCCAACACATCCCTATGTTACAGTTCTGAATCAATGTCATGAAGGTAAAATCATCTGCATACTTATTCCCCTTTCGTTTGAATCACATGTTCCCGTGTTTATCAGATGAACAACTTGCAATTTA